CGACTCATTGTACAAGGTCGACTCATTGTACAAGGTCGACTCATTGTACAAGGTCGACTCATTGTACAAGGTCGACTCATTGTACAAGGTCGACCATTGTACAAGGTCGACTCATTGTACAAGGTCGACTCATTGTACAAGGTCGACTCATTGTACAAGGTCTGAGATGACGCACCAAGTCGACTCATTGTACAAGGTCGACTCATTGTACAAGGTCGACTCATTGTACAAGGTCGACTCATTGTACAAGGTCGACTCATTGTACAAGGTCGACTCATTGTACAAGGTCGACTCATTGTACAAGGTCGACTCATTGTACAAGGTCGACTCATTGTACAAGGTCGACTCATTGTACAAGGTCGACTCATTGTACAAGGTCGACTCATTGTACAAGGTCGACTCATTGTACAAGGTCGACTCATTGTACAAGGTCGACTCATTGTACAAGGTCGACTCATTGTACAAGGTCGACTCATTGTACAAGGTCGACTCATTGTACAAGGTCGACTCATTGTACAAGGTCGACTCATTGTACAAGGTCGACTCATTGTACAAGGTCGACTCATTGTACAAGGTCGACTCATTGTACAAGGTCGACTCATTGTACAAGGTCGACTCATTGTACAAGGTCGACTCATTGTACAAGGTCGACTCATTGTACAAGGTCGACTCATTGTACAAGGTCGACTCATTGTACAAGGTCGACTCATTGTACAAGGTCGACTCATTGTACAAGGTCGACTCATTGTACAAGGTCGACTCATTGTACAAGGTCGACTCATTGTACAAGGTCGACTCATTGTACAAGGTCGACTCATTGTACAAGGTCGACTCATTGTACAAGGTCGACTCATTGTACAAGGTCGACTCATTGTACAAGGTCGACTCATTGTACAAGGTCGACTCATTGTACAAGGTCGACTCATTGTACAAGGTCGACTCATTGTACAAGGTCGACTCATTGTACAAGGTCGACTCATTGTACAAGGTCGACTCATTGTACAAGGTCGACTCATTGTACAAGGTCGACTCATTGTACAAGGTCGACTCATTGTACAAGGTCGACTCATTGTACAAGGTCGACTCATTGTACAAGGTCGACTCATTGTACAAGGTCGACTCATTGTACAAGGTCGACTCATTGTACAAGGTCGACTCATTGTACAAGGTCGACTCATTGTACAAGGTCGACTCATTGTACAAGGTCGACTCATTGTACAAGGTCGACTCATTGTACAAGGTCGACTCATTGTACAAGGTCGACTCATTGTACAAGGTCGACTCATTGTACAAGGTCGACTCATTGTACAAGGTCGACTCATTGTACAAGGTCGACTCATTGTACAAGGTCGACTCATTGTACAAGGTCGACTCATTGTACAAGGTCGACTCATTGTACAAGGTCGACTCATTGTACAAGGTCGACTCATTGTACAAGGTCGACTCATTGTACAAGGTCGACTCATTGTACAAGGTCGACTCATTGTACAAGGTCGACTCATTGTACAAGGTCGACTCATTGTACAAGGTCGACTCATTGTACAAGGTCGACTCATTGTACAAGGTCGACTCATTGTACAAGGTCGACTCATTGTACAAGGTCGACTCATTGTACAAGGTCGACTCATTGTACAAGGTCGACTCATTGTACAAGGTCGACTCATTGTACAAGGTCGACTCATTGTACAAGGTCGACTCATTGTACAAGGTCGACTCATTGTACAAGGTCGACTCATTGTACAAGGTCGACTCATTGTACAAGGTCGACTCATTGTACAAGGTCGACTCATTGTACAAGGTCGACTCATTGTACAAGGTCGACTCATTGTACAAGGTCGACTCATTGTACAAGGTCGACTCATTGTACAAGGTCGACTCATTGTACAAGGTCGACTCATTGTACAAGGTCGACTCATTGTACAAGGTCGACTCATTGTACAAGGTCGACTCATTGTACAAGGTCGACTCATTGTACAAGGTCGACTCATTGTACAAGGTCGACTCATTGTACAAGGTCGACTCATTGTACAAGGTCGACTCATTGTACAAGGTCGACTCATTGTACAAGGTCGACTCATTGTACAAGGTCGACTCATTGTACAAGGTCGACTCATTGTACAAGGTCGACTCATTGTACAAGGTCGACTCATTGTACAAGGTCGACTCATTGTACAAGGTCGACTCATTGTACAAGGTCGACTCATTGTACAAGGTCGACTCATTGTACAAGGTCGACTCATTGTACAAGGTCGACTCATTGTACAAGGTCGACTCATTGTACAAGGTCGACTCATTGTACAAGGTCGACTCATTGTACAAGGTCGACTCATTGTACAAGGTCGACTCATTGTACAAGGTCGACTCATTGTACAAGGTCGACTCATTGTACAAGGTCGACTCATTGTACAAGGTCGACTCATTGTACAAGGTCGACTCATTGTACAAGGTCGACTCATTGTACAAGGTCGACTCATTGTACAAGGTCGACTCATTGTACAAGGTCGACTCATTGTACAAGGTCGACTCATTGTACAAGGTCGACTCATTGTACAAGGTCGACTCATTGTACAAGGTCGACTCATTGTACAAGGTCGACTCATTGTACAAGGTCGACTCATTGTACAAGGTCGACTCATTGTACAAGGTCGACTCATTGTACAAGGTCGACTCATTGTACAAGGTCGACTCATTGTACAAGGTCGACTCATTGTACAAGGTCGACTCATTGTACAAGGTCGACTCATTGTACAAGGTCGACTCATTGTACAAGGTCGACTCATTGTACAAGGTCGACTCATTGTACAAGGTCGACTCATTGTACAAGGTCGACTCATTGTACAAGGTCGACTCATTGTACAAGGTCGACTCATTGTACAAGGTCGACTCATTGTACAAGGTCGACTCATTGTACAAGGTCGACTCATTGTACAAGGTCGACTCATTGTACAAGGTCGACTCATTGTACAAGGTCGACTCATTGTACAAGGTCGACTCATTGTACAAGGTCGACTCATTGTACAAGGTCGACTCATTGTACAAGGTCGACTCATTGTACAAGGTCGACTCATTGTACAAGGTCGACTCATTGTACAAGGTCGACTCATTGTACAAGGTCGACTCATTGTACAAGGTCGACTCATTGTACAAGGTCGACTCATTGTACAAGGTCGACTCATTGTACAAGGTCGACTCATTGTACAAGGTCGACTCATTGTACAAGGTCGACTCATTGTACAAGGTCGACTCATTGTACAAGGTCGACTCATTGTACAAGGTCGACTCATTGTACAAGGTCGACTCATTGTACAAGGTCGACTCATTGTACAAGGTCGACTCATTGTACAAGGTCGACTCATTGTACAAGGTCGACTCATTGTACAAGGTCGACTCATTGTACAAGGTCGACTCATTGTACAAGGTCGACTCATTGTACAAGGTCGACTCATTGTACAAGGTCGACTCATTGTACAAGGTCGACTCATTGTACAAGGTCGACTCATTGTACAAGGTCGACTCATTGTACAAGGTCGACTCATTGTACAAGGTCGACTCATTGTACAAGGTCGACTCATTGTACAAGGTCGACTCATTGTACAAGGTCGACTCATTGTACAAGGTCGACTCATTGTACAAGGTCGACTCATTGTACAAGGTCGACTCATTGTACAAGGTCGACTCATTGTACAAGGTCGACTCATTGTACAAGGTCGACTCATTGTACAAGGTCGACTCATTGTACAAGGTCGACTCATTGTACAAGGTCGACTCATTGTACAAGGTCGACTCATTGTACAAGGTCGACTCATTGTACAAGGTCGACTCATTGTACAAGGTCGACTCATTGTACAAGGTCGACTCATTGTACAAGGTCGACTCATTGTACAAGGTCGACTCATTGTACAAGGTCGACTCATTGTACAAGGTCGACTCATTGTACAAGGTCGACTCATTGTACAAGGTCGACTCATTGTACAAGGTCGACTCATTGTACAAGGTCGACTCATTGTACAAGGTCGACTCATTGTACAAGGTCGACTCATTGTACAAGGTCGACTCATTGTACAAGGTCGACTCATTGTACAAGGTCGTATACTCCATTGTACAAGGTCGACTCATTGTACAAGGTCGACTCATTGTACAAGGTCGACTCATTGTACAAGGTCGACTCCATCTGTACAAGGTCGACTCATTGTACAAGGTCGACTCATTGTACAAGGTCGACTCATTGTACAAGGTCGATCATTGTACAAGGTCGACTCATTGTACAAGGTCGACTCATTGTACAAGGTCGACTCATTGTACAAGGTCGACTCATTGTACAAGGTCGACTCATTGTACAAGGTCGACTCATTGTACAAGGTCGACTCATGTGGTTACAAGGTCGACTCATTGTACAAGTCGACTCATTGTACAAGGTCGACTCATTGTACAAGGTCGACTCATTGTACAAGTCGACTCATTGTACAAGGTCGACTCATTGTACAAGGTCGACTCATTGTACAAGGTCGACTCATTGTACAAGGTCGACTCATTAGGCGACTCATTGTACAAGGTCGACTCATTGTACAAGGTCGACTCATTGTACAAGGTCGACTCATTGTACAAGGTCGACTCATTTGTACCAAGGTCGACTCATTGTACAAGGTCGACTCATTGTACAAGGTCGACTCATTGTACAAGGTCGACTCATTGTACAAGGTCGACTCATTGTACAAGGTCGACTCATTGTACAAGGTCGACTCATTGTACAAGGTCGACTCATTGTACATCCAAGGTCGACTCATTGTACAAGGTCGACTCATTGTACAAGGTCGACCATTGTCAATGACTCATTGTACAAGGTCGACTCATTGTACAAGGTCGACTCATTGTACAAGGTCGACTCATTGTACAAGGTCGACTCATTGTACAAGGTCGACCAGATGACGCACCTTCACCAACCACTCGCTCACCCTTCCGTTCAACCCCCCCCCCCTCCCCCCGCTTTCGTTCCATCCCAGACCCACCTTTTCAACTGACGACATCAACCTAGACAAGCACAAATTCGAGCGCTTTCTGCACCCGGGAAGGTTCGCGGTGGCTTCCATATTCGCCCCGACGCTCTTCCCGCCCCTCCCCCTCTTGGTTTTCGCCGACCCGTCTGCTGCGTCCAATCAGCATGCAGAAGAGGGTGTGGGAGGAGGGAGTGTGGGAGGGAGTGTAGTAGGAGGGAGTGTGGTGGGGAAGGGGAGGAGCTACAGCTGGCAGCGACGGGGGCTTTAAGAGGGCCGGACCCCGATCGGATCATTCTGAAGAAGATTGTTTTGTCCGGGTGAGTTGAAGAAGGAAGATTAGCTTTAAGTGAGCTGGTTGAAGGGGCAAGTGGGCTTTGGATGTGTTCCTCAGTTGGGCTTTAAAGCCCCATTCTCATAATTCAAGGTAGTGACCAAGTGTCAAATGTTTGGCACCTAGTTACGCTGGCGAAAGTGAAGTGACAGGCTTGGAAATGCCTCGGACAGTGTGATGTGCTAGGGGGGAAGAGACCAACCGTAAAACCAGTTCTGCAATATGAGAATCCGCAAGTTCACGGAAGAACGGTGCTGTTGCACCATCAGATCATTAACAGCCTGTGATCTGACAGTCGATTGACTGAGCGTTCGAATCGATGGCTATAAGCGAAGTACAAAATTGTTGGGCGAAAAAATTGGAGTTTGCACCGCCCGATGTTCCAAACCTGCCACACCCCATACTTTCCCAGACCTGTTTCTTGGTTTGGAGTTTTTTGTCGAAACATTAAGGCATCGTTTTCGTAAATTTGTTTACAGCTCGCTTGCCAATCAGTGCCTGTCTGTCTCAACCAAGTGTAAAACTCTAGTAATTATGAGATTGGGGCTTTAAGAGGGCCGGACCCCGATCAAGGTCAAACTCTTATCAAGACGCACATCTCTTTCTCTTTCTCTTTCTCCCACTCCCCCTCTGAATCCCACATCTCCCTCTTTCCCCCTCTCCCTCTCTCCCTCTCTCCCCCTCTTATGCACAGCTACCCCGTGTCAGTGATGAAGCGCAAGGCAGTGGTGCGCTACATGTTCCACCAGCCAGAGGACGGCAGGTGGTTCCAGGTCAGTGCCACGTCAGACGGTTTCAGGTCAGTGCCACGTCAGACGGTTTCAGGTCAGTGCCACGTCAGACGGTTTCAGGTCAGTGCCTTGTCAGACGGTTTCAGGTCAGTGCCACGTCAGACGGTTTCAGGTCAGTGCCTCGTCAGACGGTTTCAGGTCAGTGCCACGTCAGACGGTTTCAGGTCAGTGCCACGTCAGACGGTTTCAGGTCAGTGCCTCGTCAGACGGTGTCAGGTCAGTGCCACGTCAGACGGTTTCAGGTCAGTGCCACGTCAGACGGTTTCAGGTCAGTGCCACGTCAGACGGTTTCAGGTCAGTGCCTCGTTCTTTCCCCTCTCTCCTCCTCCGACCCTCTCCCTAAGCACCATTAGCACCATGCGCTCCCTGCCAGCCTGGGGAGCTATTCTCCCGATACGGTGGTGCGGGGGGCGCATCAACAAATGCCACGCCATGCACCACGCCCACGTTTTCTCCCCTCCCCTCCCTCTCCCAACTCTTTCCTCTCCCCTCTCTCCACTCTCTCCCACATCTCTCCTTGCTGCCAGCCTGTGGAGCTGTTTACCAAGTACGATCGGAGGGGCCGCATTAACATTCACACGATAGCACATGCCATGCATGCACCACTCTCATCTCGTTTTCCGCCTCTCACCTCTTCATCTCCCCTCTCCTGCCAGCCTGTGGAGCTCTTTACCAAGTATGGCCGGAGGGGCCGCATTCGAGAGCCAGTGGGCACCAAGGGTGAGTGTGTGGTGAGGGATGACATTGTCGCAATGAATGCTCGAGTTGTGTGCCTTTCCCACACTTATCAACTGCCGCTTAAAAGCCACTCTTTTCCATTGTGTCCGAGCCATCCCATGCCTGTGCAATTTACTCACCCCACACGTTCTGCTGTGTGCACAAGCAGGTGCAGGTGTAATCACGTGTGTCTTCAATGGTGTGGAGTGGAGCAGTGCAGCAACGCTATGGCAGTTTCACTAATTCCTTCCCTGTCTCACTCGTGCTTTCATCCCAGTGTCAAACGTAAGCAGGTGTCATCGTGTGTGTGCTCATCGGGTCTATTTTGAGTCGACTCAAAATCCATCTGCACAAGCTGACACAGTGTGTGCTCATCGGGTCTGTGGTGGGCTGCTGCAGCGCAGCAACACTTTCATGGTTCCACTATTCTTTTCCCTGTTTTTCTCCCCCTCTTGTCCAAATGTTGCATGCGAGCAGGTGCAATCAAGCGTGTGTGACAGAAATGTGCAGCAGCGCGACGCTGTCGCGTTTACTGTAGAGGCACCGCAGCCATCATCCCTCTTGTCACTCATACTTTTTCCTTTCCTGTTCGTCCCAATGTCGCATGCAACCAGGTGCCATCAAGTGTGTGTTTGACGGGGTGGTGCAGCAGCGCGACGCCGTCTGCATGGCTCTCTACAAGCGGGTCTACCCCAAGTTTCCCGTGCTGCCAACGTCTTAAGTGGGGTGGCTGAGGCTCCCAGGGGCCTTCCTCCTCACTCATTGGAGAAGATGGAAAGAGCAGCAGTGCAGCTCTGTCTGCATGGCTCTCTACAAGCCAGTCTACCCCAAGCTGTTGTCTCTTTTTCGGCCAGGCCCGACTCTTCTGCTTTCATTGTGCCATATGCTCTTCTGTTCAAGAGCAATCAAGGGTGTGTTTGATTGGGTGGAGTGGTGCAAGAGTGCAACGCGATTTGCATGGCCCTCTACAAGCGAGTCTACCCCATGTTCCCAGTGTTGCAGCGTGTAGCGGGCAGGGGTAGGGCCATGATAACAGATGCACAGTTGGCGCAATCGCTATCGTAGCTGGGCGAGTTAATAATTCTAACTCTTGGCCAACCGCTGAGCATCCCAACAGGGTCAATCACTACAGCATCCCAACAGGGTCATTCACTACAGCATCCCAACAGGGTCAATCACTACAGCATCCCAACAGGGTCAATCACTACAGCATCCCAACAGGGTCATTCATCTACCTGGAAAGCGAGATGAACCAGGAAGGTAGGTAGGCTTGGATACCAGGTGTTATCTGTTGTGATATAATTGGTACTTAGCATTTCTGTAAGTCGATTAAGTGTAGTTAGTGTCGAATCTTACTGTAGAACATAATGTTAACGTAGAAACGAATGATTTACTAGAGGTGGAAACCTAGAACAAATACTAGTTGGTTGTACTCACTAGAAGCATACCTCAGTCTAGCCTATAACTTCTACATAGATAATATGTATAAGTTGACACACCCCTAGGCTAGACAAGGGGTGAAACTAAACAAGAAGCAAACAGCTCAGGGCGGCACTACTAGTCCAACCACTGAGGCAGGGGTCTGGAGACCAGTCAGCAAGAATACAACCAAAACTGAAGCAAGCCAGGGTGGCACTACTAGTCCAGCCACTGGAGGTAAGGCCACAAGGCCAGTCTGACAAGCATATATAATAGAGAGTACACAATCAGGATCCTAACAGGGGAGCAGCTATAGGAACAAGACCAAGCTGTACACAGTGCCGCTGATGATCTTTAGGCGCAAGCGCCTTAGTAAAGATATCAGCTGTGTTGGCACCTGAGGCCAAGTGAACTACGCGGGCCTGGCGGCGCTGCTGTAGCTCGCGCAGGAGGAAGTACCGCAGCTGGATATGCTTCGCTCTGCCCTCAAGCCGAGGCTCCTGACACAGGAGTATCATGGCCCTGTTGTCAGCGTACAGGACCGGGGCAGAGCTAGGCCGCTCACCTAAGTCTGTGAGCAAGAAGGTCAGCCAGCGGAGCTCCTGTGCCGCCATGGCACCAGCGTAGATCTCAGCCTCACAGCTAGACTGAGCCACAGACGACGAGCGAGTGGATCTCCAAGAGATAGCACCCGAACCAAGGCTGAAACAGTAGCCCTGCGACGACCTGAGCGTCTCAGCGTCGTCTGCCCAAGAAGCGTCTGTGTGCCCAGTAAGGACCACTGGCCTGCGTCCTCCTAGCACTAACCCCATGCCTGATGTACTAGCAAGATAACGCAAAACCCTCTTAGCGGCAGACCAGTGCTGAGGTCGGTGTCTGCCTGTAGCCACAAAGCGAGCCAGGATGCTGAGAGGGTATGCGAGATCTGGGCGAGTGCAAGTCATCAGGTACATGAGGCAACCCACCAGCTCTGCGTAGGGGCCACTGGGCTCTACTGGCTCCTCAGGAACGGGAGCAGAGAGCCCATGGTCTACGGGTAGAGGTGTGGGCTGTGCGGAGGAGAACTGAAGACCGAACCTCTGAAGGACCTGACGCACCAAGTGTGACTGGGTCAGAGTGATGGTGCGTGCTGCTCTGTCCCTAGAGATCTGCAGGCCAAGATAGCGACGCAGCTCTCCAAGGTCAGTGCAGGTGTGTCTCTTCAGCAGCTCAGCCTTCACAGAGGCCAGTGCGTCCCTGTCAGGAGTAGCGAAGACCAGGTCGTCTACGTAGACAAGGATGTAGAACGGAGTCTGGCCGGAACGCACAAACAGTGAAGGGTCAGCAGAGGACGGAAAGAACTGCAGGTCTGCTAACGTGGCACGTAGCGTGTCGTGCCACTCGCGGGGAGCCTGACGCAGGCCGTAGACCGGGCGCCTGAGAAGCCACTGGGTCCCAGGAGGGAAGGTACCAGTGAAGCCCTGTGGTCGGCGCAGGTAGACCTGCTCGTGTAGGCTGCCCTGAAGAAAGGCAGTAGAGAAGTCGAGAGAGTGAAGCTCGTAGTCACGCTGTGCTGCTACGTGTAGCAGCGCCCGAAGAGTGGTCATCTTCGGGGTCGGGGCGAAGGTCTGGAAGAAGTCAACCCCCTCGCGCTGACTGAAACCTCTGGCCACGTAGCGCGCCTTGAAGACAGGCGGCTCTCCAGGGGGGCGCTTCACCTTGAAGAGCCACCGACCATCGACTACGTTCACCCCAGGCGGGGGAACTGCGTCGACGTAAGTGCCGGTGGATCTCCAAGATGCCATCTCCTGCTCCATGGCAGCTATCCACTGAGAGGCCCAAGGTCCCGAGGTGGCCTCAGCGTAGGTGCGAGGGGTCGGGATGTCGAAGGCGTCTGGGTCACCCTCAGGGACTAACAGCATGGAGCAGAGATGGGGAGCAGCCTCGGAAAGGAAAGCCAGCTCGTACTGCCTGTCCTCTAGGACGTCACTGCCAAGGGCAGGAGCACCCCCGACGGACAGAGGACGGGCAGGGTCAGAGACCAGAGCGGTAGCGTAGTCAAGGCGGCGGGTAGAAGCGAAGTCAGCGACAGCAGCGACAAGCGCGTCAAGGCGCGAGACAGGAACAGCAGGGTCGGTAACAAGAGAGGCAAGGACCCGAGGGACAAGGGGACGAGCAGCACGGAGGTAGTCAGAGAACGGAGGAGGTGCAACAGCAAGGGACGAGGGAGGAGGGGACGGGAGGAGGGGAGGACGAGACGAGTGGGAACGGAGCAACATAGGGTGGGTGGGCAGGACAGGAGAGACGGGACGAGCACGGGAGGGACGGCGAGCCCAAACGTGAGACGGAGGGGTAGGGTCAGGGGACAGCGGAGGAGACACAGGAGGGGAACGAGGAGGAAGACGGGCCGGAGACGAGTCTGGCGGCGGGAACACAGGACCGTAGACAGGGAGGTCAGGAGGCGGTGGGGGAGACACCGGCGCGCGGTCCGGGGAGGGAAGGCCGAGCAGGCGGAGAGCGGAAACCGGCGGCGACGGCTGCTGTGGCGGCGACGACGGCTGGGCCGGAACTCTCGGACCAGCAGAGGCAGAACGACCGTCGGCAGAACACTCAACAGCAGCACCCCCAGAACCAACACCCCAAGAGCGAGAACCCCCTCCAACACCAGCGGCACCCCCAGAAGCCGCAGGACGAACACCCTCCTCCACACCAGCACCCCCAGGGGCCGAGAGCAGCGGCGGCAGTGGCGGCGACAGCGGCGACGGCTGCGGCGGCGACGGCGACGGCGGCGGCAGCGGGGTCGGCGACTGCGACAGTGGGGGCGGAGGCACTGGGGAAGGGGGACGCGGCAAGGACGGACCGGGGGTACCACCAGAGTCAGCAGACTCCTCAACGGGGACAACCGACGGGAGGGGAGTGACGTGGGAGACACCAGACGGGGCAGGACGAGGCGGGAGAGGGGCAGGGGCTACCGGGGGAGAGGGAGCAAGGAAAAGGGGGGGGGCAACTGGGAGACCTCGGTGAGGGAAGCGGCGGTAGAAGGAGACGGACTCGTCAAAGGTGACGTCACGAGAGTGGAGGAAGCGGTGAGACGGCGGGTGGTAGAAAAGCCAGTCAGACGAGTCCAGGGGGAAACCGAGGAAGACACAGGGGACAGTGCGGGCAGTGAGCTTGTCCGTGCCAGAGGCACGAACGTGAGCAAGGCAGCCCCAGACGTGGAACGCAGACGCGTCACCGGGGGACCCGGTCCAAAGGAGGGTCGGCGAAACCTGCGGCCGCTGGGAGCGTGGCCACAGGTTAAGCTGGTGAGCCGCGTAGCGAACAGCGAACGGCCACAGAAAATGGGGGGCATCGGCATGGATCATGGAGGTACGGGCGACCTCCATGACCAAGCCGATGCGGCGCTCAGCAACCCCATTCTGCTGTGGCGAGTCCGGCAACGTGTACGACTGGGTGATGCCCTCCGCACGACAGAACTGTCCAAGCCGACCAGAGGCGAACTCGCCGCCACGGTCGGAGTGGAGACACAACACGGGGAGACCGCGGTGGAGACGCGCAGCTACAACCCACGGGAGAAGAACGTCGGGCACGTCGGCCTTCCGCTCCAGGGGAAACACCGTGGTGTAGCGCGTGTAGTCGTCAACGAGCACAAGGAAGTAGCGCTCACCGCGCGGTCCGGGGACGGGGGCAGGGCCCCAAACGTCCAAGTGCAGGGTCTGAAGGGGGGCAGTAGCAGGACGCAGCGAGGAGGAGTGAGGAGCACGGCGGAGCCGACCCTCGACGCAAGGCGTGCACGGTGGCGCAGTCGAGGGAGGAAGGGCAGGGAGCGACGCGGGGAGACCTAAGACAAGACCGTGCTGGGACATGTGACGCAGACGCGGGAGAGCAGGGTGACCTAAGCGGTGGTGCCAGAGAAGGGAGGGGTGAGTGAGGGACCGACACGAGCAAGCTGCAGCGACCTGGGAGGACGCACCAACCGGGGGGAAGCGGTGTGTAGGGTAAACAGACCGGACACCGGGTCCCGGGGGAACGTCGCAAGGGGGGAACCGGAGACAGCCTCAGAACAGACAGCGAACCGCTCGTGCCCGGGGAACGTGGTGGTGACGCCGAGGTCCTGGAGACAGCCGACACCAACCAGGTTCCTGGAGAACGAGGGAACGTGGAGGCCAGTAAGGGAGCCCGAGGGAACTGCCGGACAGGGAAGGGACGTAGAACTGCGCGCGACGACCGGACCCGCAGAGGGGTCAGCGAGAGAGACAACAGCAGGTGCAGCAAGCGGCGTGAGCGTGGAACGGTCGCGGAAGAAGCAGGCAGAAGCACCAGAGTCAAGAGTGAAGGACAGCGACGCAGTGGCGGAGGCCGCGGACGGAGCCGGTGCAGCGACTAGACTAGGCAACCTAGGCAGTCCTACGCCTGTCGCAGCAGGGGAAGCTAAGCTACACAAGGGTGAAACACCTAAACTAGAGTACACATGGTAGTAAGATCCATCAACACTAGAAGCGTCAGCATACAAAGCATGCAAAGCAGCACCTATCTGATCCATGTCTAACTCAAAGATCGGCACGCCCTGGCGGAGCAGGCTGTGCCAGTCAGGGAGGTCCGGGGCCGGGCCAAAGCGACGACGAAAAAGATCGTCGAGGCGGCGGAAACAGTGGGCGGTCGGGTGCGGGCGGCGGCACAGAGTGCCGCGGAGAGGCCCGGTCTGAAGCTGGTACTGGCAGGTCACAGCACTGGAGCCGCTGGTAGACGCCAAGCTGCGCGGGCCGCCACCACGGCCACCGCCTCCGGAGGTGCCGGGCCAACCAGGCGGGAGACGAGCCCACGGCTGCGGCGGGTGCTGCTGGGACGGCGGCTGCGGCTGGGGCTGGTCCTGCTGCTGCTGGGACTGCTGCTCCTGCCCACCGGTGGTAGTCCCCTCAGGCGGACTACCGTCACCACCACCACGACCACTACCACCTGCGTCACCACCCCTACCTCCCTGGCGGCCACGGCCACCGCGACGCGAGCGC